GGATCCAGTTCTTGATTGTGAATATCTGAACAAATCGTTTGCTGTTCAAGAATTCTTGTTTGGGCAAGTCATATCATCCATACATAGTGTTACCCCTTTGGTGTCAATGATATAACCGATCTCATTTCTAGTCTATCTCTTTCTATTTCTTTTCCAATATATGAAAAGGTCAAAAATCATTATATAATAATCCAGGAATCACATTAGAAAAGAAATAAATTCATTTGAAAGAAGAAAGCACTACTTCTTTGAAGTAATATCTTGCCTTAGCCTTCCGGCAAACCACTGTGCTTGGTGTCCCCAGAGTCATCTTCAAATGAGAAGATAAACTAAAATATGTCTGGACTCGTTGTTTATGCCACAAGGCTACTTCAGGTAAGTTGGATCTCTTAGTTCGGGTATGAATTCTTATTCGAGAAGTCCCTCTTAGGTTACACATTTTTCTTATTGGAGGAGCGACTGTCTTTTAAACTACCAATAAAATAAAATAAAATAACAAGGGTAAACCAATGTGATCATGACTTTGTCCTATAGGTTCGTTCTAAAGGTCAGTGGTTCAAGTTAATAAGCAAGGAGACCCTTATATTTCAATCTTTAACCATTTACTTTTCAAGCAGAGAAGAGTGGTTACTTAGTGATAGCGGACCATGGCCAAGTGGGCAAGCACTTGGATCCCTCTTTTATAGAATAATAACTAGTTTGAGTCTCCTTCAAACTACAGTCTAATCTATTACATGCATCGCTAATACAGTAAACTTCCAAGACAGTCATTGCCCAATGCACCAATGTAAGTTGCTTTTTCACATTCTTTTCTTTTGAAATATGTCGAAGATACCCCAAGTGCAACTCTGCAGAGAAATATTCCCTTGCATCCGTCAAAATTAATAAATTAGTTCTTGCTTCCACTAAGTTTAAGGTATTACATGAATTTTTTTACTGTTCAATTTGTTGCTACCTCAAATCCATGCACTACTTGTCAAAGGAAAACTTGTTGGTACAATCTTTTACTCAAAAACTTCAAAGCTGCTATATTCTTTGTTTAATCTATTTAATCCCATATTTTAGGACTAAGATTTCTGAGATAGAAAAACTATCAAACACTTCAATATGTTTATCAGATTCAAATTTCAATGGCATTTTTCTGGAATAGAAGTTACATATCTGAATTACACAGAGTATAAAACATCTATACACAATACAATTTATCACGATAACAAAATCAAAAAATAATAAAAAATTGTTTCAAGCCCTCGAGATGAGAGCAACTCTACTTATTGACCACAACACCTCTCACAAAACCTTGCCTATTCTGAATAGAAAGTTGAAATCAGTGATCCAGAGAGACCAAATAAACTAACGAATTCACTGGAAGGTGATCTCTACTGGTTTATCAGCAACTTATATTCTTACGTATCAGTTAAAACCGTTGAATCGGAATCATGTCCTGATCAAATGCTCTAGTGATTATGCGTACTCGGGGTTTAGTGTCAAGGCCTCCTGGTAAATCATTTCCTTCATTTGCTCTTCAGACAAGATTTGCTTCTCAAAATCAAAGGAGAATGGCTCGGGGCATACTGGCTCATCAGCTATATCATGTAATTTTGCAAGATAAGGATGCGCCAGAGCTTCTTCCACTGCACCAAAAGACAAATTACCTATTTGAGAAACAATGAAGATAATCTCGCAATGAACAATTTTTTTTT